GCATAAAAGAAGACTTGTAATGATAGAACTAGTGTAGACCAAAGAAAAATTCCCTGACAGAGCCATTCTGTCAGAAGGAAGAAAACTGCTGAGGCATTGTTGAGGGGGCTATGCAGTTACTGATATGATTTGGCTCTGTGTCCCCATTCAAATCTCATCTCAAATTGTAATTCCCGTAATCCCCATGTGTCAAGGGAGGGACCTCGTGGGAGATAATTGGATCATGGGGGTGGTTTCCCCCATGCTGTTCTTGTGATAATGAGTGAGTTTTCACAAGATCTGATTGCTTTATAAGTGTTTGGCAGTTCCACCTTCACATGCTCTCTCTTGCTTGCTGCCACATAAGACATGCCTGCTGCCTCTTCTGCCATGATTGTAAGCTTCCTGAGGCTTCCCCAGTCATGAAGAACTGTGAGTCAATTAAACCTCTTTCCTTTGTAAGTTACTCAGTCTTGGGTAGTATCTTTATAGCAGTGTGAGAACAGACAAATACAGTAAATTGGTACCAGCAGAGTTGAATACTGCTGTAAAGATACCAGAAAATGTGGAAGTAACTTTGGAACTGAGTAACAGGAAAATGTTGGAACAGTTTTGAGGACTCAGAAGAAGACAAGAACATGTGGGAATGTTTGGAACTTAGTACAGACTTGTTGAATGGTTTTGACCTAAATACTGCCAGTGATATGGACAATAAAGTCTAGGCTAAGGTGGTCTCCAATGGAGATGAGGAACTTATTGGGAATTGGAGCAAAGGTCACCCTTGTTATGTTTTAGGAAAGAGACTAGCAGCATTTTGCCCCTGCCCTAGAAATCTGTGGAACTTTGAGCTTGAGAGAGATGATCTGAAATTGGAACTTACGTTTAAAAGGGAAGCAGAGCATAAAAGTTTGGAAAATTTGCAACCTGACCATTTGGTAGAAAAGAAAAACCCATTTTCTGGGGAGGAATTCAAACCTGCTGAAGAAATTTGCGTAAGTAACGAGGACTGAATGTTAATCACCAAGACATGGGGAAAATGTCTCCAGGGCATGTCAGAGACCTTCACAGCAGACCCTCCCATCATAGGCGTGGAGGCCAAGGAAGAAAAAATGGTTTTGTGGCCTGGGAGGGCCCCACCCCACTATGTGCAGCCTAGGGACTTGGTGCCCTGAGTCCCCGCCACTCCAGCTTCAGCCATGGCTAAAAGGGCCCAAGGTATAGCTCAGGCCATTGCTTCAGAGAGTGTAAGCCCCAAGCCTTGGCAGCTTCCACGTGGTGCTGTGCTTGAAGGTGCACAGAATTCAAGAACTGAGGATTGGGAATTTCTATCTAGATTTCAGAGGATGTATGGAAACGCCTGGATGTCCAGGCAGAAGTCTACAGCAAGGGCAGAGCCCGCATGGAGAACCTCTGCTAGGGAAGTGTGAAAGGGAAATGTGGAGTTGGAGCACCCACACAGTGTCCCCACTGGGGCATTGCCTAGTGCAGCTGTGAGAAGAGGGCCATAGTCCTCCAGACCACAGAATGGTAGATCCACTGACAGCTTGCATTGTGTGCCTGAAAAAGCCACTGGCACTCAATGCCAGCCCATGAGAGCAGCCACAGGGGCTGAACCCTGCAAAGCCACAGAGGCAGAGCTGCCCATGGCTATGGGAGCCCACTCTTTGCATCTGCATGCCCTGGATGTGAGACATAGAGTAAAAGGAGATTATTTTGGAGCTTTAAGATTTAGGCTGGGTGCAGTGGCTCACATCTGTAATCCCAGCCCTTTGGGAGGCCGAGGTAGGTGGATCACCTGAGGTCAGGAATTTGAGACCAGCCTGGCCAACATGGTGAAACCCCATCTCTACTAAAAATACAAAATTAGCTGGGTGTAGTGGTGTATGCCTGTAATCCCAGCTACTTGGGAGGCTAGGGCAGGAGAATTACTTGAACCTGGGAATCAGAGGTTGCAGTGAGCTGAGATCACACCACTGCACTCCAGCCTGGGCAACAAGAGTGAAACTTCATCCCAAAAAACGACAAAAAAAAAAAGATTTAATGACTGTCCCGCTGGATTTCAGACTTGCATGGGGCCTGTAGCCCCTTTGCTTTGGTCAATTTCTCCCATTTGGAATGGAAGCATTTATCCAATGCCTGTACCCCCATTGTATCTTGGAAGTAACTAACTGGTTTTTCATTTTACAGGCTCCTAAGTGGAGGGGGCGTGCCTTGTCTCAGATGAGACTTTGGACTTGGATTTTTGTGTTAATGTTGGAATGAGTTAAGACTCACTGGGGGACTATTGAGAAGGCACAATCAGTTTTGAAATATAAAAAGGACGTGAGATTTGGGAGGGGTCAGTGTAGAATGATATGGTTTGCCTCTGTGTCCCCACTCAAATCTCATTTCAAATTGTAATCCCCATAATCTCCACATGTCAAGGGAAGAACCTGGTGGGAGGTGATTGGATCATGGGGGCAGTTTCCCCTATGCTGTTCTCATGATAGTGAGTGAGTTCTCACAAGATCTGATGGTTTTATAAGTGTTTGACAGTTCCACCTTCACATGCTCTCTCTTGCCTGCTGCCATGTAAGATGTGTCTGCTTCCTCTTCCACCATGACTGTAAGTTTCCTGAGGCCTCCCCAGCCATGCAGAACTGTGAATCAATTTAATCTCTTTTCTTTGTAAGTTACCCAGTCTTGGGTAGTGTCTTTATAGCACTGTGAGAACGAACTAATACAGTTGCTGACATTGTTCAAAGGTTACCCATAAGGTCCCTGCCCTCTACCTACCTCCAGAGCCAGTGGACACAGATCACAGGGAATATGTTGGCCTACTCTGTTGGGTAAATTGCTTCTAAACACCTCTCCAACTGCTTCAGCAGAATCTATGTTTAAATCCAAACAGTGAATATGCTTAACACACTGTCCTTTTCACTCATCCAAGAAAGCAGACTACCAGCACCTTGACATCTCATAATTAATCGAGTTTCGGTTGTTTTTAAGCATGCTATAAATAATGAAATAATAAATTGCTTTTCTTTTTTTTTTTTTGAGACAGAGTCTTGCTCTGTTGCCCAGGCTGGGGTGCAATGGCACAATCTCAGTTCACTGCAACCTCCGCCTCCTGGGTTCAGGTGATTCTCCTGCCTCAGCCTCCAGAGTAGCTGGGATTACAGGCACCTGCCACCACACCCGACAAATTTTTGCATTTTTAGTAGAGACAGGGTTTCACCATGTTGGCCAGGCTGGTCTCGATCTCCTGACCTGTGATCCGCCCACCTTGGCCTCCTAAAATGCTGGGATTACAGGCGTGAGCCACCGTGCCTGGCCAATAAATTGCATTTATTAAGCAATTCAATTTTTCCTTCAATTTCAAGAGTTAACATTATATGTTAAACTGCAAATTAATAGTGGTTTTATTATTTGGAGGAACAAAAACATAATCAAGATACATTATTAGAAAATGTACCTCCGGCACCATATAAAGCCCTGCAAACTACAGCACACAAATGATTCTGTGGTTTGAATATTTTTGTCCCTTCCAATTTCATGTCGAAATGTAATCCCCAATGCAACAATGTTGGGAGGTGCGCCCCTTTGAGAGCTATTTAGGTCATGAGAGTTCTGCCCTCATGAATGGATTAATGTCACTATAAAAATGCTTGCAGGAGTGGTTTATCTATCTTCACTCCTGTCACATGAACTTCACATTCATCCTCTCTTGCCCTTTTACTTTCCACTGTGTGAGGACTCAGCAAAAAGGCCCTCACCAGATATCAGTGACTTGATCTTGGACTTCTCAGCTTCCAGAACTATGAGAAAATAAATTTCTGTTCTTTTTAAATGATCCAGTCTGTTGCATTCTGTTATGGCAGCACCAAAGGGACTAAACTAAATGGCAAAAGCTTATCTATTCAAATTAAGAAAGAGAAAAACAGTGAAAAAAACGCTGGTAGGATTCATTCTTTCATTCCCTGTTCTGGAAAATCACCAACAGTTAGAAATGGGGCAAAAAGTTGATTGCACAGCCTTTTCACACCATACCAGAACATTGTCCAAGAAGTCTACCTGTGGCTCACCTGATTAGTATGTTTAACTTTGTTCACCAACAGTTGGTGAGGAAGCATAAGCTTTTTACAGTACTATAAATCTAAGAGATTAAACTGCAGCTAAACCATAAGAAGTGATTTTTTTCCTGCTTATTAGGAAAGTTTATATATAGTTTTATTGTCCTGCAGGTCATCAACCAGGTTTGTATCTAAATTAACGGTCTCATTTCTGCATTTCCTCCCACTACCTACATAATCAAGAATTTATAAATGCTTTTTTTTTTTTTTTTTTTTTTTTGAGAGGGAGTCTGGCTCTGTGGCCCAGGCTGGAGTGCAGTGGCCGGATCTCAGTTCATTGCAAGCTCCGCCTCCTGGGTTTACGCCATTCTCCTGCCTCAGCCTTCCGAGTAGCTGGGACTACAGGCGCCCGCCACCTCGCCCGGCTAGTTTTTTTGTATTTTTTAAGTAGAGACGGGGTTTCACCATGTTAGCCAGGCTGGTCTCGATCTCCTGACCTCGTGATCCGCCCATCTCGGTATAAATGCTTTTGAAAAGCACCTATATAATTCTGTTGGTTCCCTGAATCATGGGTTAAATAAAATTTTACAGCTGTTCACCAATAATCTGTGTGGGATTTATGATTTGTAACAATTTGGGAATTGTGTTTTCAATCCACTTTCTGGAGCTGAGGATACCTTTTCCAAGGGCCTGCTGGCTGACTTCTCACAATGTTTGCCAAAATGAGGTAACCATTCATTTACTAAGAGGCTTGGGATAATCCTAACTGGTTTAGAGGATTCAACATCCGGGACAGAATGATCACCAGTGGGGACACTATCCCCAGGTTACTACAGGACTCTATCTTAGATGTTTTATAATGCAGGAGTCAACATCAGTCACTGAATGGCAGGGGATATCGCTTCTGAACAAGACATGGACCACGTTTACAGGACCAGGGAGGGAAAGGTGCCATATTCATTCAGACTCTTTCTTTTTCAATAGTGTCTGACATTTATTGGAAATATGGAAAATACATTTCTCCAGGTAGTATAAAGGAGTTGAGTAGAAGAAACAAGTTATTTTGTTGATCAAAAAGCACCTGAGAAAATGCTGCAAATTTAGAAGAGAAATGGAATACGGGCAAAACTAACTGGTCCACAAGAGAAAATGAGGGACTCGATTTGGCTGCCAGGCACAACTGAGCCCTGGCAGCCATGTGGCAGGAGCACAAAAAGTCTCTGGGATTGGGGAGGAAATGGGTCTCTCTGAAGGTAACAGGCCCCTTGAGGGGCAGCCAGCTGTCTGGATCATCGTCCAGGGGTTGTGGCCAGCCCAGATACCTCCGAGGTGAGTCCAGATTACTAGAAGCAGCAGTCTGTCGGTGGGATGCGATGGATGGCGATGGCAGTGGCAGCGCAGGTCTGTGGGCAGCATGATGTAGTCGTCTGGCAGTCTGGAGGAGTGGAGGGGGGTTGGCAGCGGCGGCTGTGAGTGGTCTGTCCAGTGTGTAACAGGAGCCCAGCTTTGTGCAGCTGGAGCGCAGGACGGCGTCCAAATGTGCATGGGAGGGGCTGGGCTGGCACGAGAGGGTGGAGGTAGCCCGCTCCACAGTGAGGCCCAGGGGCGACAGCAGGAGCCTGGAACGCTATTCCTGGAACAAAGGCAAGCACTACTCGGGAGGGGACAGGAGGGCAGGGGACATCGCGGCGGCTTGAGGGGGAGGGAGGCGCGGAGGGAGGGCGCCTGTGGAGACCCTGGCGGTGGCCACTGGCACAGCGGACCCTCCCCAGAGCACCCGCCACCAGGCTCGAGGGTCTCCCGGCCTAGAAGTCCTCATCCTCCTCCCATCCAAAGACCCGCTTCATCTCGGCCAGGAAGCCCCGGTAGTCACTGAGGAGGGGACTGTCCTTCTTGATGTAGGGGATCACCCACTGCAGGGCGGGCCCCGTGAGGCGGGTGATGAGGAACGTCACCTTCAGGGCGTCGTTGGAGAACGTGTTCTCGTCCACGAACATGTAGGAACCCGTCTGCACGATGAACTCCGGGAGCCGGTCGGTATCGCCATCAAACGTCTCGGGAAAAGGAATCGGGTTCCTCCAGCGACGCGCCGCGGGCCGGAGGGGCCGGGCCAGGAGGGCCTTCATCAGTTGCACCCGACCGTCCATCGCGCCGCGCTCGCTCGGCTGAGCTTAGCTGAGCTGCGCTGGGCTTCGCGGGGGGGCTGCACCGGGGCGTCGCGGGAAGTCCAGATCGGGGGAGGAGGAGCCGGGATATGGGCGGAGCCATGGGGAGGGCCCAGCTGCTTTGGCAAGCTCTGCCCAGAAAGCCTTGGGGTCAGTAGTGCGCCAGGGAGTCCCGGGGCACCCAGCGGAGCAGGTGGTGGGAAATGTGGTGGCTGGCTTAACTGGTCGAGGAGGCGGGGTCGCACCGTAGGGGTTGGGCGAAGTCTTTCTAGGTGGGTGGGGAGTGAAGATTTTTTTGGTGAGGTCTAAGCCCATTGTGCTTGGAGAGCAAAGCCTAGAAATTCTTTAAAGCTGAGTAGTCAGCCTGGTATATCTATCCCTTGTCCCATGCTATCTGCCCTTCCGTGTTCCTTTGCAAATCCTCGGCTTTGACACTTTTGAAAATTATTGGTCAACAATTTGTTTAAATGCCCCTAGATTTGCTTTCCTCTGATGTTTTCTCATGATTAGAATGAGTTATTTTTGCCAGGTATACTACAGCAAAGATTTTGTGTGTTAGTTTATCAAATCAAGGTGTTCATGATGTAGTATATTTTGTTATTGATTATGTGTACCTTGATCACTTGTTTGCCATAGATACTTTCAACGCAGTTGGGTTGACTAGGTTATGTAAGTCCTGATGAGCAGAGTAGCATGCATATTTCTGAAACATCCATACAGGCCATTCAGTAAAAGTGTCCTACCAGTACAGCTAAATGTGATATATCTTTCCTCCAAATTACAAGATACCCTCCATGAATTTTATCTATTTCTTAATAGTAGGAAATGAAATCAGTCAAATGCATTTTCTGTGTCTATTGATGTGTCCTATGGATTTTCTCTTTGTGTTAGCTTTTTGTTGCTGTCTTAATGAATTACCACAAATCTAGTGGTTTAAAACAACAGAAATTTATCATCTTGTTGTTTTCTAGGTCAGAAGTTCCATATGGGTCATACTAGACCAAAGTCATGGTATTGGGAGGCTATGTTCCTTTCTGGAGATTCTATGAAATAAGTTCTTTCCCGTTCATTTAGACTATTGGCAGAATTCAGTTCCTTGTGGTTGTAGGACTGAGGTACTGTGTTCTTGCTCTGTAATATGAGGGCCATTCCCAGCTTGTAGAGGACACCATATTTACTGGCTCATTGCCACCTTCTTCTTCTTCAAAGTCAGCAATAGTGGGTGTCAGATTTTTCTCATGTGGCTTCTTTCTAATCCTCTTTGCCTTCATCTTACACTTTTAAGAGTTCATATGATTAGATAATCAATGATAATCTTCATATTTTCAGTGTAACTGATTAGCAACTTTTGTTCTGTCTGTAGCTTTAATTCCTTCTTGCTTTATATTTTCAGGTTCTGGAAATTAGGACACACACATCTTTGGGGGATTGCCATTTTGTCTGCTACAGTTCCTTTTAGTTAGTACAGTAAATTATAATTGATTTTTGATTCATAAAACAACATTGCATTGCTGGGATAATTTCATTTAATCATGGCATATTATTATTTTTATATTTTACTAGATTAGGCAAATAGATAAATAAATTATGGCATAGTCATACAATGGAACTCTGTATTAGTACACACAGCAATATGGAGGAGTGCTACAGGTGTTACACTGAATAGAAGTTGTGAGGCACAAAATTTGTATATACTTTAGGATTTCACTTTATATCAGTGTTAAAAATAGGCAAAGCTAAATGCTTATAGAATTCAGAATAGTGGTCATCTCAGTGGAGGAGGAATTATAGTGTGTAAAATTGGATGAAAGAAACTTGTTTCCCAAATATGTTTTCCCAAGTTGCTAACATTCTGTATTCCCACTGGCAATATATGAAAGATTAAGTTGCTTTGCGAACTCATTTACGCTCAGTATCGTCAGGTTTTGTTTTGTTCTGGGTTCTTCATTTGTTGGGTTTTTTTTTTTTTTTTTTACTTCAGCCATTCCAATAGGTGTGATTGTGGTTTTAATTTGCAATTCCCTAACTGCATAAATTAGGGAACACAGAACACACATAGACACAGAAAATGCATTTGACTGATTTTACTTCCTACTATTAAGAAACATAAAATTCATATTGCCCTGAACATCTTTTTTGTTGCTTATTTGTCATGCGTTTATCCTTTTTAGTGAAGTGTCTCTTCAGATATTTTTTTCCATTTTAAATCAGGTTGTTGACATTTACATTGTTGTTTTGAGAGTTCTATATGTATCCTGTATTCAAATCTTCATTATATATGCCATTTACAAATATTTTCTTCCAGCCTGTGCCTTCTCTGTTCATTCTCTTAACATTGTCTTTTGAAGAGCACATGCTTTCTAATATGATGAAGTCCAATTTACCAAATTTTGCTTATGAGAATTGTGCTTTTGTTGTGATAGCTAAGAAATCTTTGTCTAATCTAAGGTTTCAAAAGGTTTTTTTTTCCTGTTTTCTTCTAAGAGCTTTATAATTTTAGGTTTTACCATTAGGTCTATTAACCTTTTTGAGTTAATTTTTGCATGTGGTATGAGACATAGATCAAATTAATTTTTTGTAAATGAATATTCAACTTTTCCTGCATCATTTTGAAAAGATTATCCCTTTTCCACTGAATTGCCTTTACAAAACTTTACAAAAATCAGCTATCCATATATGTGTGGGTCTATTTCTGAATTACATATCCAATTCTATTCATCTACAGTTGGCCCTCTATATCCATGGGTTCTGCATCTGCAGATTCAACCAACGGCTGATCAAAATATTCTGGAAAAAAATAATACAAAATAATTTGTATACATTGATTTTGTATCCCGAGACTATATTGAATTCATTTATCAGATCTAGGAGCTTTTTGGATGAGTCTTTAGGATTTTCTAGGTATAGAATCATATCATTAGTGAACAACAATAGTTTGACTTCCAATAAATATAGTACATTTATTGATTTGCATATATTAAACCATCCCTATATCCCTGGTATGAAACCCACTTGATCATAACATATTATCTTTTTAATATGCTGTTGCATTTAATTAGCTAGTATTTTACTGAGGATTTTTGCTGCTATACATCAATAATGACCAAGCTGAGAATCAAATTAAGAACTCAATCCCTTTTATAACAACTTCAGTAAAAATACTTAGGAATGTACTTAATGAAAAAGGTGGAATATATTTATAAGAAGAACTACAAAACACTGCTGAGAGAAATCATAGATGACACAAATGGAAACACACCCCATGCTCATGGATGGGAAGAATCAATATTGTGAAAATGACCATACTGCCCAAAGCAATCTACAAATTAAATGCATTTACCATCAAAATACCATCATCATTCTTCACAGAAGTACAAAAAACAATCTTAAATTTCATATGGAACCAATAAAAAGCACCCACATAGCAAAAGTCATACTAAGCAAAAAGAACAAATCTGGAGGCATCGCAGTTGCTGACTTCAAGTTATGCTACAAGGCTATAGTTACCAAAACAGCATGGTACTGGTATAAAAATAGGCATGTAGACCAATGGAACAGAATGGAGAACCCAGAAATAAAGCCAAACACAACCAACATATCTTTAAAAAAGCATACAAAAACATAATTTGGGGAAAGGACATCCTATTCAATAAATGGTATTGGGAAAACTGTCAAGACACATGTAGAAGAATGAAACTGGATCCCCATCTTTCGCCCTATAAAAAAAATTCAACAAGGTGGAGCAAAGGCTTAAACCTTAGACCTGAAACCATAAAAATTCTAGAAGATAACATCATAAAAACTCTTCTGGATATTGGCTTAGGCAAATAATTCATGACCAAGACCCCGAAAGCAAATGCAACAAAAATAAAAATAAATAAATGGGACCTAATTAAACTAAAATCTGCTGCACAGCAAAAGAAATAATCAGCAGAGTAGACAGACAGTATTAACAAACTATGCATTCAACAAAGGACTAATATCCAGAATCTACAAGGAACTAAAAAAAAAAATCAGCAAGAAAAAAAAAATCCCATCAAAAAGTGGGCGAATGACATGAATAGACATTTCTCAAAAGAAGATACACAAACAGCCAGCAAACATGAAAATATGCTTAACATCACTAATTCTAGAAGATAACATAATTCTCAGGGAACTGCAAATTAAAACCACAGTGAGATACCGCCTTACTCCTGCAAGAATGGCCATAATTTAAGTCTAAAAACAATGGATGTTGGCATGGATGTGGGGAAAAGGGAGCATTTTTACACTGCTGGTGGGAATGTAAATTAGTACAACCAGTGTGGAAAACAGTACGGAGATTCCTTAAAGAATGAAAAGTAGAACTACCATTCAATCCAGCAATCCCACTACTGGGAAATAAGGAAAGAAAAATAAGTCACTCTGTGAAAAAGACACATGCACATGCATGTTTATAGCAGCACAATTCACAATTGCAAAGATATGGAACCAACCTAAGTGCCCATCAACCAACGAGTGGATAAAGACAATGTGGTGTATATACAACATGTACTACTACTCAGCCATAAGAAGGAATGAAATAATGTCTTTTTCAGCGACTTGGATAGAGCTGGAGGCCATTATTCTAGGTGAAGTTAACTCAGGAATGGAAAAGCGAATATTGTATGTTGTCACTTAGAAGTCGAGTTAAACTATGAGGATGCAAAGGCATAAGATTGATACAATGGACTTTGGTGATCCAGGGGGGAAGGATGGGAGGGGAGTGAGGGATAAAAGACTACATATTGGGTACAGTGTACACTGTTTGGGTGACAGGTGCACTAAAATCTCAGAAATCACCACTAAAGAACGTATCCATGTAACAAAAAACCACCTGTACCTCAGAAACTATTGAAATAAAAGTAAAAATTAGAAAAAGAGTACAATTAAAAATATGAGGTAACAACTATTTACATAGAATTTGTATTGTATTAGGTATTATACGTAATCTAGATATGATTTAAAGCATATGGGAGGATATACATAGGTTATATGCAAATATTATACCATTTTATATAAGGGAGTTGAGCGTCCTCAGATTTTGGTA